CGTTTCAGACTACTGATTCCAAAGTCTCGACTGGATTGCCGGCGCCAGTCTTTTGCTGTCAGAGTATGCAAATCTTGGAATGCCCTTCCATCTCATGTCGTTTGTGCACCCACTATTGAATCTTTCAAGCACAGACTCGACAAAATCTTCGCACACCTCACATTCGTACACTAAAGGCAAACGGAAATTCACTGTAGCCTACATTCTCTATCTCCCACCCGAATCTCTATGTGACTCCTTTTTCGATGTGTAACGATTCATCTGTGTAAACATCCTATGGGACAAGAGAAGCACCAGCTTGTAAGCTATTCCCATAATAAAACTTTGACTTTGACTTTGACCTTCAGTGAAGACAATTTCAGATCAACCAATGTAATATTTAGAATACAAATTCAGGCAAACCATTGTTTTCAATACCTTTTAATCACGCCGTTACATTCAGCGGATAGGGGATAACACAAAATATGAGGAATAAATACATCACTATCAATGCATATATACGTATGTGTGTGTTGTACATCACACTCTCAGTCTTATACCTCCAAGATTTTCTGTCATTTCACCTTATTTTTTCTACCCGGTTCTGAGAAATCGGTGTTATAGGCATATATATATGTATATATATACATATATATATATACATATATATATATATGAGTAGGGGAGGTAGGAGGTCATGAGCAAATTGCAGATATAGAGCTTGTGTTAAACGCATCCGAGCACGTAATTCCGGCGTAAAATATTTAGCATTCATCTTTTAACTTGTTTAGACTGGTTTGGAGGAACTTGATAAATAATATGGAACGCTTCACTTGGGTTGACACGATGGCCAATGACTGCTGAGTGAGCGAGACTCGAACTTCCGATAGATCAGAAACCACCTTAACTCAACCAGCGCGGGTGCTGTTCTTTCGTGTGGAAAGCTAATTGTCGTGTCGTGCGACCGACGCGGAGTTTCATATTTGCAGCTGAACAACTAAATAATCATTTAGGTGGTCAAAATGGGTGATTTGTCCTAATTCCGTATGGTAATCCATGGGGAACATTGGAAGAAGTAGCGTAGGTACGCGGCGTTTAATCCGGCTTTCACAGCTCCATTCAGTCGTCTTTCGGGGGCACGTTCGCCATTTAAGGGAAGAAGGAATAAGTCCCCGTTTTCAAATCTGTGTACTTTCGTACCTCTCCCATCACTTTTCCCTGAATGATTTAGGTAACCATTGTTTATCAACTGCATTTTCACCTGTATTGTTTAGATACAATACTAATTGAATAGAATAATGGAGATGAACGTCAGGGACAATAATAGGTAAGCATATTTCTCCATAGTCAGGAAGTGATACTCCAGCGAAAATCATGAAAAGGTGACCTCATTCGTTATGATCCCTCGTGTGCCAGGGCTAGACGTTTTGGTAAGCTAAGATTTTACTTTTTAAAAACTAAATGTATGAACCTGTAATCTGCCTATGCACAAATCGGCCTTTTCTTTTGACACAACGTGAATAAATCGATGAAATCAAGCCTTGTTTCGCGCAGAAACATTCTCACTACTGTTTTGTACTAGTCTTATAATTCCACATGGTTGTGCCTGGTCGAGGATTGCAGTTGGGATATCAATAATTTGGCATACATATAAAAAGATATCTCATTTGAAACATGTCATCACAATTCCCGGCAGCACAGAGAGTGGTGAATGGAACAGTCCATAGTTATTCTTTGGTGCACAGTAAATCGTCCTCAGTGTTCTTGTTAATTTTTTACCCTTGAAACAAACTGCCAATCGCATCTTTTTGTGAGCTACTCACAAGTGTGAGTAGTATCTCAGAACACTATTACCATGGTCGTTCACCAATGCAGGGGTTTCTCACCTAGCCTGAAGCAAATCACGCAACTAACCTGACTGAGACATTTTGGCAGATGTTTTGAGGTCAAGGTCAATTCACTGCGGAACGCCATTCTTATCGGAATGTAAGCGAGATCTCATTAGCACAGGAAATTCCTTATCCGATCTTAGACCGGATCCCAACTACCTGCTAAATCCTTAGTAGTGTATCCCCCCTCACTCTTCCTGGTTGATTTAGACTGCGTGATTACGTGCACTGAGAATGAGATTGGTAGAGATTCTGTTTCATGTAAAATTGAATTTAAAATGACGCTTTTTGTGTCTTCAACTGATGTAGAATTCATTCAGTGTCACATTCAAAGTTTTAGTCTTATGAGACCTTGCAACGAATAAGAAACCAAATAGTTCATTGATCATTCACAACCCGATCACGACGCATTTGTCAAACGGTACTGTGCAATCCGTTTCAGACGCCTTCTGAGCGAGCGATGTCTGGAGCAACAGAATTTGGATCTGGCCGAACTGGGCTTCGTTCAGTGCCAGAACTATGCCGGGATACAGTTTGTGAAACGTCTGAGAAATATTCAGTCCAAAGTGATTCGAAAGGTTTGTCTATGGTTGTTGGATATTCAACTGATGTCAAAACGGTTTTCTGTTTACTAGAACAGTTGTATTTATTCAATTTTAAGTAATTTTGAATAATGATACCACGAGCTTTTCAGTGTTGCCATCCCGGGAAGTTGATGTGCACTTTCCCGAAGTGTGAAAATGAACAAGAGTTGCTCGTTTCTGGGTTTATCAACCGGATAGGACGTAGTGGTTCAAATTCAGATTTTTATTATGGGTAAATTACAAAGTTGATATTTGTTGAATACCATAGGATCTGTACACACACTGGGTTCGGTTGGTAGTACAATTAACCGGCAAGTTATGACGTTCACTGATAGGTGTTGAACAGTTATGTGTAGTTCAATGCCTCCTCGAGCCATGACTTCAGTGAATCGATATTTGGAGTCCAAGCATCTTCAGGTGAAAAAGAGTTCTAGGTATTACAAGCTCAGAGGCTGAAAGAGTGACGTATGCAGTATAACTGACTCTGTTGGAGCAAACGAGTGTTTAGGCTGATGTCATATTTTATATATGACGATCATGTGTTCCTGTATTCAACAGTATTCAGATGAATAGAATCCGGTAATTTACAGCCTTTCACCGCAAGGTTTTTCATTATAACATTTGCACCGTTTTGGGTGCTGTTGTCTGCGACGTTCGAATGCCTTTTGGTCGCGAATTAGCCATGAATTCTAAGCTTGTGTAACATGCTCAGTGTGTGGTCTAATATATGCTGATAGTAAACGGGGCAGTAGGTTTGCTTCGAACGAACACGTTTTCATAATCCACGTTGCGTTAGGGTCTTTGATTGCGCTCTCACGCGATGTGTATAACATCCTGGATCCTCACAAACAATAACTCCCAGATTCTTTTCGTTTGGAAAAACGCTGTAATGAATGAGTTCCAAGTAAGTATGAAGAGCCATCGCTATGATGCAACGATACAACCTTGCATTTTTCAGTGTTGAATTTAATGTCATTAATGATATGCCATCGGCAAGCTGCGTCGGAACTTTCATAATCTTCGGGACGTTGTGCCGTTCCTCAAATTTTGTTGTCTTCAGCGAATAATAGTGCCTTTTCTCTAAGCACATCTGGTAGGTCATTTATGAATTCTAGGAAAAGTTACGGACCAAGTACATATCCTTGTGGAACTCCACGGACAGCCTAAATTGATCCCGATAGAGAACATTAACTGGAGCTGATACAGTTCGCTGTCGAGGAAATTCTTCACTCCAGTCAAGGAGTGGTTTTCTAACACCGTAGCTATGGGGCTTTCACAATAGTATACGATGGTTAACTCTGCCAAACGATTCCGAGAAATCCAAGTAGACTACGTCTACGGCTTCTTCTGCGTAGCCTGATCCAGCCCACTCATCTCGTAAAACTAGCAGGTTTGTGGTGCATGAGCATTTCCTTCGAAATCCGTGTTGGGCCGGCGAGAGAACGTTGCGTTTCTCGAAATGTTCCACCAAAGAATCAGCAACAACGGATTCCATTACTTTTGACTGAACAGGGAGAAGTGTAACCGGACGGTATTTTGCAAGACCACTTCGGCAGCCCTCCTTACAAATGGGTAAAATTACACTGTATTTCCAGGACTGAGTAATCACCGTGTTTTCAAACATGTTTTGGTATCAATGAGCAATTATTTCAGCCATGAGATTTGCCAAGAATGTCAGAGTCCGCGGACGTGGATGTTGTCTTACTCTGAGGATAAATTCTTAGGCAGCGTCAATAGTTTTGCTTTTACCGTTTCAGTCTCGAAGGTGACGGTAGTTAATTGGGAGTATGGAACACTTGGCAAATTTCAAATTTTTATTCTGAGAAAATACTTACAAAGACTTCGCTTATCAAATCCCATAGAGTGTTTACATTTTGGTTCGGAATAGGATTCACAAGATCACAGTTAGTCCATGAAATAAAATAGTAATGTAATGTTTTGACGAGCACAGGAGAATATATTATGTATTTGGGTGTTGAAACATAATGTTTACCAGAGCGCCATCAAGCTGACGCTTAAAAGATACTAATTTCGGCGCACAGACTACGTG